AGTCCCGCGCGGTGCCTTTGCCCCGAGGACGAATCGAAACACACGCAAGTTTCCCAACGCACGGACGGGCACACCGTTCCCGAGTTCCCCTCTGCACTCTGGCGGGCGCGATCCCACCCCGCGACCCTGACGCGCCGGGCGGCACCCTCGGACCTCGAGCCGGGGCCGCCGCCCGCGGAGCGCTCGCTTAGCTCTCCGTCTCCGTTTCCTCTAATCTCTGCTTTCCTTCCATGATTCCAATAAAGGTTTTTATGGTCGTCGTGTGGTTTGCAAAAAGACTTCCCCTCTCTTCCCCCTCTCTTTTCGGAATTCATTACTTTGAGGAAAACCCTAGAAAGCAACTCTCGGGTGGAAAGCGCGGAGACCATGCCTTGGCAGCGCAGGCGGAGGGAGGTCGAAGGAGCCAATCCTTTGCCCCTTGGGAAGTGCTGATTTTCTCCGGGTCGCAGATGAAGCGCCCGTTTGCCAAACCGGTGCCGATTCGCTGCAGGCGTTTGCAGGAGGGCTCCGCGCCTCCACTCGCCTTTCTGTAAGGTTTTACAAAAAACGTCCTTTAGGCTGCCCGACGGAACTGGAGGTCAAGGTCAGTGCCAGGGCCCCGCGCCCCAGCGCCCCAGCGGGCCTGGGAGCGCGCGTGCGGCGATCGCCTTTGCGGGAGGACACCCCGCAGCTCGCGCTCCTACTCGTATTTGCACAGTTTTCCCGAGTGTTCCTCCCCCTGCTCACTAGCTTTGTGCTCAGACTAAAATTTGCCCCTCAGATTTTGCTACCCGGGCAATGACAAGCACCGGACCAGTCTAGCGCTCAGCCCCTCCGGGCGGGCTGCGTAGCAAGACCTCGACCTCCGCTGCCTTTTCGGAGTCCTCTTTGGACACGACCGGGTAGAAACGCCATTTGGGGCTCGGGAGGCGGAGAGATCCTCTCCCGGGGGGGGGGGGGATTGGGGTGTTAAGGCTTCTGGCATTCCTTTCACCTCTTCCCTCCTTTGCGCCTCTCCCTTCCCTGGGTTCAGGTCGGCTCCCGCTTCTCACCTCCCCCTTCCCTCCAACCTGCCCCAGCGGGCGGGGAAATAGTGCAGTGCTGTCTCGGAATAAATGGCTGGCGGTGGCCTGCCACCTCTGAGTGACCTTGTAGGAAAGGAAAGAGGTATGTAAATGACCGGTCTCCCAAACTTCATCAGCATCAGAATCGCCTGGGACGACTTGCAAATGTAAATAAAACCCCTCGGCCTGTCTTTCTTAGGAGTCCAGATTTCCCAACTGCCCTGGCCGCATCTGACCTTTTTGTCCCAGGCGAGCGCGCATTCCCGTCCCTAACCTTTTCCGCTTCTGTCTTCGCCCTCCCCTTTCATTTTCCAGGCAACATCTTCGTGGTTAGCCTCTCTGCAGCCGACATGCTGGTGGCCATCTACCCCTACCCTCTGATGCTGCGGGCCATGGCCGTCGGGGGCTGGGACCTGAGCCAGTTGCAGTGCCAACTGGTGGGGTTCATCACAGGGCTGAGCGTGGTTGGCTCCATCTTCAACATCGTGGCGATCGCCATCAACCGCTACTGCTACATGTGCCACAGCCTCCAGTACGAGCGGATCTTCAGCGTGCGCAATACCTGCATTTACCTGGTCATCACCTGGGTCATGGCTGTCCTGGCTGTCGTGCCCAACCTGTACATTGGCACCATCGAGTACGATCCTCGCACCTACACTTGCATCTTCAACTATCTGAACAACCCCATCTTTGCCGTGACCATCGTCTGCATCCACTTCGTCCTCCCTCTGCTCATAGTGGGTTTCTGCTACGTGAGGATCTGGACCCGCGTGCTGGCCGCCCGAGGCCCGGCCGCCGGGCAGAACCCCGACAACCAGCTGGCCGAGGTTCGCAATTTTCTAACCATGTTTGTGATCTTCCTCCTCTTTGCAGTGTGCTGGTGCCCTATCAACGTGCTCACTGTCTTGGTGGCTGTCAGCCCAAAGGAGCTGGCGGGCAAGATCCCCACCTGGCTTTATCTTGCAGCCTACTTCCTAGCCTACTTCAACAGCTGCCTCAATGCTGTCGTCTATGGGCTCCTCAATGAGAATTTCCGAAGGGAATACTGGGTCATCTTCCATGCCATGCGGCACCCCATCCTGTTCCTCTCTGCCCTCATCACTGATGTTCGCGAGACCCGCGAAGCCCGCACCCTGGCCCGTGCCCGCTCCCAAGCCCGGGAGCAAGTCCACGAACAAGACAGTGCCCGGCTCTGCCCTGTTGTGGAGGAAATCCCCATGAGTGTCCGGAATGTCCCATTACCCGGTGACAGTGCTGCCGGACAACCTGAGCATGCCTCTGGCCACCCCAGGCCAGCCTCTGCCCTCCGTAAATCTGCCTCTGCCCACCCCAAGTCTGCCACTGTCTATCCAAAGCCTGCCTCAGTCCACTTCAAGGCTGACCCTGCCCATGGCAAGCCTGCCTCTGTCCATTTCAAGGGTGACTCTGTCCACTTCAAGCCCGCCTCTGGCCTGTCCAAGTCCATCATTGGCAGCCACGTCACGACCCTCGGCCCTGCCACCAGTTGCCCAAAACCTATCACCGGCCACGTCGAGCCCACAACCAGCCACCATGAGCCCACCTTTGCCACCCCCCCAGAACTCTCTGCCTCCAGCCCTCTTGACCTTGATATCATTGCCTACCCCGAGCTTATTTCCAGTCCTTCTACCGGCTCCCTTGAGCCTGCTGCCAGCAGTGATGAAGATGACCTTCTGAACCCCACTGTGTTCACCACTGCCACCAGCAGTGGCCACGAGCTCTTAGTCCTCGACATCGACGCTGATTCTGACGAAATGGCCATGTGAAGAATATGGGATCCCAGGTGACCGACTTCACTGCAAATGCACACAGACGCGCAGACGCTGACCCACAGTCGTGGTGTAAGCCCCTAAGGGCCGCAGGCTCTCCCCTCTTCCCTAAGGCACTCCCTGAAGTGTGTGTGTGTTGTGTGTGTTTACTCTTCTAGAGAGCAAATCCCCCTTGAGTTCTGAGCGTCCTCCCTCTTGGGGGTAACCTTCAGCCCACAGGGAGCCTTGCCTATTCCCCCTGTCCTGCTTTCTTTCCCGCCCCACAGTGGGGCACATGCTGTGGTGAAGGCTTTCGTCAAGTGAACGTGGCTGCCAGCTTTCCGTTGTCCAGTATGTGACTGTGTTGTGTTTTTAACGGCAGTTGGAAAGCCAGTTGCGATAAAGCACGAATACTTGAAACACTTTGCTAAATCCCAGCCACAAAACCTGACCCGTAATTGAAGAATACAATTTGATAAGCTCTGAGGAAGATTGATTTTTTTATGCCTAGGACATCACATGGCAAAACGAAAGAAACAGACCAGCCGAATTCTACTTTCTGAAAATTCCAACATTGGTGCTGATTTTTATAGTTTAACAGGAATGCAAACAATGAGATGTTTTTACCTTATTTGTAATCACTTACCTTTTTCAGGACTTTTTTTTTTCCCCATTTGGTTACAGAGAAGCAAATCCATTCACAAAGTAGTCCTTTCCCCTACAATCCAGTGCCAGTCACACTTAATGCCACGATTCATAACTACTCTTTACCTCAGAGATTTTTTTTTACACAGCCAGATATTTCTACAGTCAGTTTTTACATTCCCCCAACCCCACCTTTGTTGCAAAGGGAATTTACAGTAGTAACTGGTAGCCCAAGTGCGTGGCGGAGCCATTTCCGCTGCTGGGGTCTGTGTCCTCTCACACCCAGTCGCCTGCGCTTGGGATCAGCACACTGGACAGCCCAGGAGATGATATTTCTCTAGAACTGAAGAAAAACACGTCATAAAAATTTCAATAATCGATTCAAATTGACACTTTGAAGAAAGTTTACCGTGCAGCTGTAAGGATAAGTGGGATGTATTATACTGCCTTAACTTGATTCTGTATTTGTGGTAGCAACCAAATAAAAGTGTTTTTGTGGCATTGGTGTGTTGATAAACTTGCTTTCTCTCCCACACTCACTTGTGAGGGGTATTGGGGGTGGGTGGAAAAGCAGCGACCTCGGTGGGGGTGTCTGGGAACATGGGTTCCAGTCCCATCAGCAAACTGTCGGGGATGGGTGAGGGGAGGCCCCCTGAATTTGGTGTGTTCTTGTCACAACTGAGGTGACAATGAATGACCAATCTATTGCTTTTGGAATCTAGATATGAACTGTATTTGCTTCTGGAAAAGGGGCCCCTCTTTACTCCCAGGGGAGGAGCGAAGCATACGCTAATAATATCTGAACCCCCAGAGGCTGCAGGGACAGAGTAACAGTCCAATGGGCAGTGGTGGGAGGCACAGGAGTGGGGGGGGGGAAGAAGTTTCCTTCCTTTTCAGCCAGAAGTGGGGGAGGTGTCACCCCAGCCGCTGCCTCTGCCCAGACTCCTCCCCTCAGAAATATCGCCTGAAGGGACCTCTGATGAGAGGGAATGCCCCCAAGAAAATGCTCCCTAAAAATAAAGGTAGATTAAAAATAATTTACAGTAAGGAGGATATCAGCTCTGCAAGGAAATGCACACGCTGAAGCCACGCACACTGGCACTGCGCAGCCTTGGCCAGAGTGGGCGCCAGAACTTCAGTTTCCACACCCCCAGGATGGCTGCTGTGCTGCAGGCTGGTTCTCTGTGCAACATTTCTGCCAGGGATCCCTGGACACCCCCAAAGGAGGCTTGCACACGTGCTCACAAGAGTCTTCCATCACCCACCACCCCTGGCTTCCCACGTCCTTCCCCTTTGCTCTCACCCCAGGGCACTTTGCTCTCAGCACTGATGCTTAGGGGGCGGGGGCACAGTTCTGAGAGGAGGTGGGAGAGTTGAAAAGTACCTGCTCTCCTCACCGTGGCTGACGCAGCTCCACAGCTCCGCTGATGCCCAGACGCCCAGCAAGTTCCATGGCAGCACAGCAACCGCCCTGCCTGTGGGCCGGCATCTCTTCTGCCCCCACTTACACCCCTCCGGCCCCCAGGAACCAGCCCAGAAACAGGTCTCTCTGTCCCTCTTTCCCTATCTTGCCCCTCCCCAGCCCCCACACATCTCTGATTCACAGGCCCACTGTGAGTGACCAGGGCAGGCCGCGCTGCGCTCAGGTGCGAGGTGTGTGCGGCTGTCTCCAGGAAAGGCCCGGCTTCGGATTTGGATCAGTGAGGTTCAGCAGGGCTGGGGGAGCCCAGTCACCTCTTCCGAGGGGCAAAACAACGCAGGCACCTCTGAGAGGTCAGTGTCCCTCTTGCTGCTGCTTCTTTTCAAAGGGAAGTACAACTCGCACACTTCCAGTGCCAGCCTCGCGGTGTCTGGCATCTCTGTACATCCTGACACCACTAAGGCCTCGCTCCTGCCGGAGGAACAGCTCTCCTCACCTGTCACCACACACCAGTTGTGTCTGTTCCACAACTCCATAAAAATGAAACACGTGGCTTCTTTTGTCCACAAAATGGGCCATTTTGACCTGCTATGAGTGTACACTTGAGTGACATCAGGGTGTCTAACAGCATTAGGCGGCCCTCACCACCCTCTTTCCCAGAACCCTTCCTGTTCCCACAGAAACTGTACCCATGAAGCAACCACACCCTCCCCTCCCCCACCCTACTATCTCTCTCCGCTCTCTGCTCTGATACATTTGCTTCGTCCAAAGACCTCAAGGAAGTGGAAACTTCCAACGTTTGCCCACTTTACAGCTCACTTCAGTCACCTGGCAGCGGCGTAAGATTCATCCCTGTAGTTGCTTGTGTCTTTATGGCCGAGTAACCCTCTGTGCTGTGGAGAGCTGGTTTGTATCACTCCATTCTTCCGCCAATGGCCTTTTGGGCTCTTTGTCATTTGTCTGCTGGGGATGTTGCTGCTCTGAACTCTGCTTTCCAAGTGTGTGTGTGAGCCATCAACCCAGAGCAGAGTCACAGCGTCGTCTGTGAATCTGGCTTCTTTCACTCTGTTTTATTCATGCTTTTGTGTATATCAATACGTTTTCTTCCTCTTCCTCATCTATAGGATGAATCGAGTGTAACTTATTTATTAATCCTACTGTCGAACATATCAGTGGCTACTATGAAAAATGCTTCTATCTCGTGTCTTCTGAATTACTTTTATATTGAGACATAATTTCACATAGAGCGAGGTCCACAAATCTTCACTGTAGCGGCGAATGAATGTTCACACATGCCTATACCTATATAACCACAGTAGAGATCAAGATATAACACATGTGCAGAGCATGGAAAGTTCTATTATGCCAGACGAATGTTGCCGTTCTTGAATTCCCTTTAATAGGACGCACACGGAGCGCGTTCCATTCTATCTGGCTCCTGCTGCTCATCATTTTTCTGTTTTAACACTATTGCTTGGGGTAGAAATACTCTGCCTTTTATTGCTGGGCGGAATCCCACTGAATTGACTAGAAGAGTTTTTTACCCATTCAACTATAGATCAACATTTGGACTGTTTTCCAGCTTGGACAATTATGGAGAAAGATGTTAGCAACATTCTCACACCTGACAGTTGGGACATGTGCACAGGTGTTCTTGGAACTGCTGAGTTGCTGGTATCTCTGCCCCGCGGTGTGGTCGACGTTGCCGAGTGAAAAGTTTCCCCAAGGGGCTGGACTAACTGCTATTCTACCAGCGATGTGTGAGGGTTCGAGGTGCCCTGAATTTGCGCCAACGAGCACTGTGTTCCGTTTAAAGTTGTCCTCTTCGTGGCAGTTGCTGTTCTAGGGGCTGTCTAGTGTGACTTCACTGGCTTCCATTAATGAATAATGATGTGAAACACTTTCTTCATCTCTTGGGTCATTTGGATATCATCCTTAGCAAAGTTCTGAAATATTTTGAAGTTTTTGTCTTTCTTCTTGGGACTAGATATGTTTAATATAGTCCAGAGATGAGTAGCTATCTAGCATACATGTAAATATACACCATATAGACATAAATATACACTATATCTAGCTCATGAATATCTTCTCTCATTCTGTGTTTTCTTTTTCTCTTAATTATATCTTTTGATAAGCAAAAGTCCTTAATATCACGAAGTCCAATTCATCAGGTTTTTATGAGACTGCTTTGTGTTTAAGAAGTTTCTGATTGATGAATGCATTCTCCTAGTTTTTTTTTTTTTTTTAAACTTATTGTTTGGTCTTAAACATTTAAGTCTAAACTTCACCTTGAATTAATTTTTGTTGAGTTTGGTGTGAAGTAGGAGTGAAGGCTCATTTTTTTTTTATATAGTCAATGTTCATATTTTCATTCTATGACTATTGAAAACACTGAATTGCACTGGAGACTTTGTTGTAAATTAGTTAAAAATATAGAAGTACAAATTGTTTCTCTCTCTCTTTCTGGAATGTAGTCTGTTCCATTTGCCTGGCATTCCATCAATGCCACAGTGTTTTTAAATTGTTAATTGAACTATAATTTATATACAATGATATGCTCCCATATTTATTATACAGCTAAATGGCTTTTAATTATGTATAGTTTTAAAACCACTTATATGCATAGCTTTTCTTTTTATATCACCATCTTTCAGAGAAAGATATAGAATTTTTCTAGCTCACCAAAAGGCTTTGATGCCCCAAAGCAGTCATTACCTTCTCTCCAGTTCGCCAGTACCCTAACCTCTATTATCACAGATCAGCTTTGCCTGGGCTGGAACTTCATTAAAATGAATCACGTCGTCTGTATGCCATTGCGTGTGGCTCATTTTGATAAGTACTATGCTTTTGAGAGGCCTCTGTGCCGCTGGATGTATCAGCACTTGTTTTAAAAATTTTCAGAGAAAAATTTAATAACGTGGAGTGTCTTCAGTCCATATTAAATTAAAAACAC